GCCGATCTCTTAAATAGAATCAACATATTTGCTTTGAACAAAGTTCACAACAATGGTTTTGTTTCCAAGATCGTGGACAGGATTGTCGTCTTCTTTGATTGGGAGAGAGGTATAATGCTAATAAATTTGGTGTGCCTCGTTTTCATAATTGAGGACCGACTCCTAAATATTAGATCTTCTTCCCTGACTTGGTTCTTGATATCTCACACCATTAGAATAATGGTTTTGGAGAGTAAATGGAAGCTTTTTGGGTTTTAAATGGTGTTTCACAAGGATTTTAGTTTCATAATAAGGTACCACAGTGGGAGCCATTTGTTCCATGCGAGATCTTTTTGGTCGACTACGATGGGAAAAAATTATCGTGGAGCAATAAAATTTGTGTTCATAATTGTCACAATTGAAGGAATTCTGATGGGTTGGTGTGCGAGTTACCTTTGATCTACTTCGAGTTGACTAACCTGCAAGGCAACACAAAACCTAGGCTTGGTAGCGTGAATTTGGCATGTGATGATCAAGTAAGTGTGGGAAACAAAGAAAGGGATAAGATAATGAATGTGAAGTGCAAGAGATAAAAATTACACGACATTACAAGTGAAAAATTATAACAGTAAATTACTAGATTGAGGAAAATTAGTTAAAAACATAAAATTTCATGAAAATATTGTATATGAATGATAAATCTAAAATATGTTGAGAAACATGATGGAAATTATTAAAGAGAAATACATATACATGTGTATAATCGGGCGGGTTTGGGTTGGATAGTGAGATAGCCATGTCCACACATCACTTGCAATACTCAGGTTCGGGTTTTATCTATAACCATTAAAAATCCTCTGTGTTTGGGTTTTACCCTACGATTGGTTGAATTCGTGTGGGTATCTGATGGACCCCAAAATAAAAAAAGTTTAATTTGACAGAAGTATTCCTAGAAATTCCATAATTAGCAACCCTCACATGTCACTATCGACCACCTTGGGGTCACTCCAGTCACACTCGGGGTTAATCACCACGGGTCACCTGAGGTCACTCCGCCACACCGGGCTCAAATCACCTTAGGTCACCTAGCCCACCCCGGGGTCGATTACCTCGAGTCACCAAGACCGCCTTGGGGTCACTCTAGTCACCCGCGACGTCAATTACCTCGGGTCACCTACCCACCCCGGGGTCACTCCGGTCACCCCTGGGTCAATCACCTCGGGTCACCTCGGCCACCCTAGGTCACTCCGGTCAACCCCTTGGTCAACCACCCCGGGTCACCTCGGCCACCTTAGGCTCTCCACCCACCCCAGGTCACCTAAAACCATTAGCCACGTACCCTTGTGACGTGTCCTCTCTCCAAACCACCAAGCTCCTGGGGGAGACACGTACTCCCTTCATGTCTGCCTAGAGGCCTCTATAAAAGGCCACTTCGTCTCCAGATTGAGGTAAGCAAAAACCTCATGCCTAGACTTGTGAACTCTCGCTATGATTAGCGCATATATTCATTCTCAAGTCCATTCCCTCATCTTTGATTTTGAGGTCATATTCCTCTCCACTCAACCCCCCTCATTAACTTGAACGCCGGAGAGTGTCGCTGCTTAGATCGGTTGATGAATCCTTTTTGCAGGAGACGACTGAAGCTAACATTCATAAGCATCAAGTTGACTGACCTACAAGGCAACACAAAACCTAGGCTTGGTAGCGTGAATTTGGCATGTGATGATCAAGTCAGTTTGGGAAACCAAGAAAGAGATAAGATAATGAATGTAAAGTGCAAGAGATAGAAATTTCTTACTAAATGAGGGGTGGAGGCCCTATTTTTATAGGAAAGTGGGGGGGGGGGGGGGGGGGGGGGGGGTTAGAGTTTCCCGCGTGTTAGATTGATTGGATCTAAGTCATATGATCGATCAAGGGCGAAAATTATATTCTCGTGTTCCTATATTCATGACAAACATTGTAGAGGTTGTTATTCCTTGTAATTATGTCGACCAGCCTCACATGAAGGGTGATACATGAATCCTTCGTTTGCAAGTTGACTATTGTGAACGAGAAATCTACTATCCTCAACTCGAGGTAAGGGTTGCTTGTTGCACACGCTCTTATCCCTCTATACAAGTCTGGCTATACCCTCTTGTCTTATTCCAAGTAAGGTCAACTCAGTGAGTCACGTTCTTAGTTCGTTAGGATGGAACGACTAGGTCGTGCGATCCACTAGGCATGTTTAGTAATGAGGTACTCGTTTTGGACCTCCCGGGCCCTATCATCTATCTAGAAACTTATGTCTTGGATTAGTTACAATGAGTGGGTCGTACTTCCTATCACAACTTAGATCATAAGTACTATAGGAAGCATATATCCTCTAAAAATACTCTTAAAATTTATCTCATGAAAGCTTTTGATTTGGTTGATTGGAGTTTTTTAATAGTTTCTTAGCTATATGATTTCTTCCTCTTTTCGTGAACTGTTTGTCTATGTGCGTGTCTTGCCCCATTTTAAGTGTGGGCTTAAATGGAAGACTTGTAGATTATTTTCCATAAAAAATAATTTCCAAGGCAATGAGACCTTTTGTCCTTTATACCTTTTTTCTAGTAAGTTATGGAAGTTCTTTCTCTTTTACTCTATTCAGGGGCTACCAATAGCACCTTACATTATCACCATATATGTATAAGAAGATTAATTTAAGTCATCTTTTCTTTGTTGATGATCTTTTGATCTTCACGGTATTCAGAGGTCCAAAGAGTGCTAGACCAGTTTAACTATAGTCGGATTTGGATTCTCATCCAACCAATGTGATATCTTCTAAGAGGGCTTGTCACTTGATCTGCAAAAAAAATTTGGTGATTAGGGTTTCCTAAAAGCTCGGTACCTTGGATTTCCTCCAATTGCTTGTAAGCTTTCTATTAAAGCTTATAAACCTTTATTATATAAAATTACAGTCAGAATCAACGGGTGGGAAGTAAATTATTTGAGTTATATAGGGTGTTTAGTGTTGATTGATTATGTTATTTACAGTTTAACTCACTACTGACTCTCTATAATGGGTTTGCCTAAGGTTGTGATAAAGGAAGTTAGGAGGAGGTTTATGCTTTTCGCGCGGGGGTGGGGGTTACTGTGGGACTCGTCTTCCATATGTTATATCATGCCCTCATCTTGCATACCCGAAAGTTGAAAGGCTAGGGGTCAACGACCTTTATTCCTCAAATCTTGCTTGTATGACTCTGCTTATTTGGGTGATATTCCTGCAACAATGGTCGCTATTGGTAGCTCAGATTCTAGAATACATGCCAAAAAGAGGTGAGTTCTGGTCAGTTGTCTCCACTATTAGTACTGGAAAAAGATTCTCAACTTGAGGTTCAAAGTACTCTTCCTCAAAATCAATTTTATTATGGTTAGTGATTCAAGATTGTGTGCAGACCCTAGAGAAAATGTCTCAATGGGGCTAGTTGGGACCTGTAAATTGTGTGTTTATAGGCAGGAGATGGAGACTCCAGATCATTTAGTTTCAGCATGCTCTATTCTTTTTATGAATTTCCAAGCTCTATTTTCTCGTGGACTATTGATGTGTGTGGTGATTCGTGGGAGGCAGAACTAGCCTGGGTAGTTCGTTGCTTAAATGGTCAGACTATTTATGCTCGCGTTGATAAACTCTTATAGAGTTCACTAGTGAGATGGACATAGAGAGGGCGATATATTGTGTATGAAGTTTCTGGAAGAGGGACTCCTTGGTCATGGTCTCTAATCAAGTTTGAAGCATTTGTCCTTTTTGGAAATTAGCTAATGTACCATCACTGGATATTTGATTGGCATTCTCGGAAGTATCGATGCTTAGTTCGTGGTTCTAGTGTGGCTCGAGATCATTTTTATTGTTTTACCGTTGAAAAAAATTGTGTGAATTTATTATTTAGTTGACGTAACAACTTTTTCAATGATATAATATAACAAACCCATTCATAGAAAAAAAAAATTCTTTTTATTCTTCTAACTAGAGAGTTTGATTTCACAGTATCCACAACCATAACAGTGGCGGATACATGGATCATTAGGGGTGTCCCGGGATACCCCTAAATTTTGGGATAACGATTATTAAACCTCAAATAATAGTTTCGCATGGATAAAAAAATTATAATCGGTAATCCGTGACACCCTTAAATTTTTAAAAAACGATTATCCTAATATCGGTAGTAATTTGTGTATGATTAAAAAAATATAAGTGGTACTTTGTATTATTCAAATCTAGAACACTACTATTGTTAAACATATTCTCTAGGTTTCAACTCGTTTCTTTTTCTATTTTAAACACTATAAAATAGTAAAAACATTATTCCTTATCCCCAATTATTTTCAAAACCTAAGAATTAAACTAATTACGGGTTATCCTTAATTTGAATTGATTTCATGGTTACACGACAATAGTTAAAAGAGTCTTTCTACTTTGAGTTACATCAAGCATAAAGTTAGAAATCGAATATGCGATCAGTTCGTGCATTATTGTCTAGTAGGATTTACAGATTTGTGGAACAATGTAGATATTGAGTCTATTTTATATATATTTTTTTTCAAAATATGAAAATACGTCCTAATCTTTTGTTAAAATATGTACTAGTCAGATATTTTCTGATTTATGAATTATTTAATTAATTTTTAATTTAATTTTTGGAAGAGGACACCCCTATAAAAAAATTCTGGATCCGCCACTGAACCTTAAGGGAATCTAACATTATCCTTATACTCCTGAAATAGAGGGTATTTCATTTGACTAGTTAATCGAATGGAACTAACTACACTGACAATAGAGATCTTCCTAGCTTTGACCAATTAGTCACCTAAGAAAAGAAACCCAAAACAACCGAATCTAGCCTGGTGCAGTAAAAGATCAGGGACGGTGAAAAATATCCCAACAAAGGAAAGTTTAAGTAATAATACAAGTGTGTGGGCGAATGATGTAACTTTCTTTCGATGAAAATTATGATGAGGAATTGAGGATTGGGTTTCGTTTTGTGGTTGGTTTCTACAACTACATGAGAAAAGGAGAAGATACCAAGAAGAACAAGTACAACCTCTCTTCCGGAGCAGCAGCTTGGCCACTCCACCAACAACAGCTGTTCCTCCGCTGCTCTCTGCTACTGTGCGCCCTCGTTGCCTCCCGTGCGCCTCTCGCTTTCTCTCCTCCTAACCTGCGCACTTGCCCTTCTTCTGCTTCTGACTCACCATCATCCTCCCACCCCGCTTCCCCTAATCCTATCCAACGCCGCTCTTCTCCCTCTTCTTCACCCTTCTTCACCCAGCCGCCGCTCCCCTGTTGCGATCCCATCGTCGCCGGCCCCGTCCGACAGATCCCCAGTTCGGATCGCCGGCTCCGATCCATGTCCAAGGCCCGGGTTTACACCGACGTCAACGTCGTCCGCCCCAAGGAGTACTGGGATTACGAGTCTCTTACTGTTCAGTGGGGGTGAGTTTGTTCAATTTCTGTTGTCGGAGGATTCGTCAGTGGTCCTAAACCCTAATATGGATTGCTTGTTAGGGTTCTCCTCTATTTGCCTATTGATTTTTTTTGTATATTTGATTTCATTATGGTTCCGGAGATGTCGAACCCTTGTGATAAAAGTTCGTTCTTTGTCGGAGTAATTGATTCTTTGACGGGAGTTCAGTTTTTTCGTTTTTTGTGCTGTACTATCCAAGGATCCGCTGTGCTTTGTGCTGAACATAGAGATATTAGGTTTGTTAGTTGTGTCTGTGAATTAAGGGAGTGAAAGACATCTCATTTGATTGATATGATCACTTGTAATCAATTGCCCAGTTGATGAATGTAGTGTTGAACTTGATAATATGGGAGAACTGTTTGTTTCTGGATACTTTTGAGTCTTGTAACTCATTTTATTATCTATCGATGAATGGGTTTTAGCTTATCTATTGAAAATTTCTATCTTGGTACCTTTCTTAGTGTAGCTGCATTAGTTTTCACTTTTCTGCAGCATTTTGTTGTCTTTCCCTCGTCTGTGCGGGGTGAGTTTGATCATATTCTGTTTTGAAGGATTCTTCAATAGTCCTGTACCCTAATCTCGATTGCTTGTTCGCCTCTGTTTGCCTGTTGATTTTTGTGTTCTTGATTTCAATATTGTTCCAGAGATGTTGAACCCTTGTGATAACTGTTTGTTCTTTTTTATTCTTTGCCTTCTGGAGTTCAGTTTTTGTGTTGTAATATCCAAGGATCCTCTGTGCTTTGTGCTGAACTTAGAGAAATTAGTTTATTAGTTGTGTCTGTGAATTAAGAGAGTGAAAGCCACCTCATTTGATTGATATGATCACTTGGAATCAATTTCCCAATTGATGAATGTAGGGTTGAACTTGATAATATGGGAGAACTTTTTGTTTCTTGATACTTTCGAGTCTTGTAACTCATTCTATTATCTATTGAATGGGTTTTAGCTTATCTATGGAAATTTTCTATCTTGATACCTTTATAGTGCAGCTGCATTAGTTTTTACTTTGTTGCAGCATTTTGTTGCTTTTGCCTCGTCTGATTCATGTTCTTATGTGTCCCTTTTCAGTGATCAAGATGATTATGAAGTTGTCCGCAAAGTTGGAAGGGGAAAGTACAGCGAGGTTTTTGAAGGCATAAATGTCAATACCAATGAGCGATGTGTTATCAAGATCCTAAAACCTGTTAAGAAAAAGAAGGTGATTTTATTGTCTGCCTACTTAATGCTGAATGGTTTTGGTGTTATTCATTTTCAGTATGTGATGTTCTGGTGTGAGTATGGTGATTACCTTTCTATGTGGCATGGTGATGATTCTTGTATGATTGGTTCTTTAGATCAAGAGGGAGATAAAGATACTTCAGAACCTTTGTGGTGGCCCTAATGTAGTCAAGCTTCTGGATATTGTCAGAGATCAGCACTCAAAAACTCCAAGCTTGATATTTGAATATGTGAATAGCACAGACTTCAAAGTTCTATATCCAACTTTGACTGATTATGATATACGCTACTACATGTATGAACTTCTAAAGGTAATCTATGCACAATATTCCCTCTCCTGCAGTATCAAGTTGAGTGGGGATGTACATCTCAGTCTCCTTGAACATCTGACATTTATGCAATGATCTCTGAACCAAGATGTACAAAAACAATGCAGGCTTTGGATTACTGCCATTCGCAAGGAATCATGCACAGAGATGTCAAGCCTCACAATGTCATGATTGATCATGAATTGCGTAAACTCCGACTGATTGACTGGGGTCTTGCTGAATTTTACCATCCTGGGAAGGAATACAATGTTCGGGTTGCATCCAGGTACATTTTCATTGAGCAGTTTTCAAACCCTCTGCATCTTTGGCTTTCACTCTTTGTGATTCATTCTTAGTTCTGTGAAAACTTAGCTTAACCCCTCTAAGAGCCTTTATTATTGAAGTATGTCACTTGCCATTAGGTGAAGTTATATGGCATAACTGCACCAATGTTTTGTTTTCAAATAGTATAAATGCTTACTATAGCTGTAGTGGATGCAGATTACATATGACACAAGATATTAGTAAAGGATAACTTCCACTTGACTAAGGAGTAACTATTGAATGATGGGCTTTTCTAGTTTTCTGCTGAAACTCTGACTCGCATATAGCTAACTTCAACCTGACCAAGGTGTAATTATATGATGATTGGCTTTTCTTTATCTTTGTGCTAAAAATGCCTTCTTTTCCACCCGACCAAGGAGTAACTTTTTGATGATGAGCTTTTCTAGTTATCTGTTGAAAATCTGAATCACAGATAGCTAACTTTCATCTGACCGAGGAGTAATTATGTGATGATTGCTTTTCTTCAGCTTTGTGCTAAAAATGAAAAATGTGTTCCGGATAATTAGGCCTGACTTTGAATTCTTTCCTTCCACATTCTTCAATCTTGTCAAAAGTAAAATCTGGTACTAAGCAGATAGCTGTCTGCCTCTCTAACTTCAATGCTAAATAGTTGAGGAAACTTCATTTCTGACACCATTTAGCAATTTTTACTTTGATGTGTTCCAATATCAACAGTTAAGTTTCTTGAGAGAGTTTGTGTGTGTCTTGTTTGACAGGTACTTCAAGGGGCCTGAGCTCTTAGTTGATCTCCAGGACTATGACTATTCTTTGGATATGTGGAGCCTTGGTTGCATGTTTGCTGGAATGGTGAGAAATTACACCTTGTCGAGGCCTTCGTGCTTGCTCATCTATTGTCCTTTATGCTGTTTTCCTAAGGATTTACCTATGTCTACTGACAATGACCTGCAGATATTCAGAAAGGAACCTTTCTTTTATGGTCACGACAACCATGATCAACTTGTGAAAATTGCTAAGGTACTATAGTTGTACAGTTTTTTTGATAAGTTGAAAATTGATTCAGTGATCATTCTGAATTTTAAGGTTATGTTTAGGTACTCGGAACTGATGAGTTGAATGCATATCTAAACAAATACCATCTAGAGCTTGATCCTCAACTTGATGCACTTGTTGGAAGGTTCGCTCAAATTGTTTCATTTGCTCTTTATGGCAATATCAATGCTAAGGAGCATCCTTCCCTATTTTTCCTTTTAGATAACCTGTTTGTCAATCAAATTGTCAAATGATCTTGTATGTGCTGTTTCAGGCACAGTAGGAAGCCGTGGTCCAAGTTTATTAATGCAGATAATCAGCATCTTGTTTCCCCCGAGGTGTGTTATATTTCCCGTCTGTATTATGCTGAAGTCGTTCTATACTAAGAAGCAAAATGAGTATGCATCATTTATGTTCATGTGTGCAGGCAATTGACTACCTTGACAAGCTCCTTCGATATGATCATCAGGACCGGTTAACTGCGAAAGAAGCAATGGTAAGCCACACGTGCTTGTTTTGCATATTCATTACACTTCTCTAGTTTCTTTTGGAATTATTTTTTAGCAACGGATATTTTTCTTGGTGTTCATTCCTTCATCATGATTAGAACCGAATGTTGGAGTCTCAGCTCATAACCGATGACACTGCTGTTGTCTTGTGGCGTAGGCACATCCATATTTCGCACAGGTGAGGGCTGCAGAAAGCAGCAGAATGAGGACACAGTAGCAGGGGGCTGGTCGTATGAACTCTGCCCAGTGAAGTAGACGCCATTATCATATGGGGACTATAATGGTCGTGATTAGAACTCTTACTTGATTGCTTTCGTGTAGTAAAGTGCGGGGGGCATTGTGCCATGCTTATCCATTTATTCGTCAACCCCACATGGTTGCTTCCCGGATGATGCATAAGTTGTACCATTTAAACATAAAATTTCTTTATCTTCTACAACTTTCTTCAATTGTTATGTGAGAAGGAAATTTTCGGGCCCAAGCTCCAGACTTGTTAGTCCCTTGTAAGAGTTCAGACATAAAATTGGCAATCTAAAGTGTGTTCTTCTGAGATTGCTTTGTTCATGCCCCTGAGAGTGAGAACTAGATTTGCCATTAAAATTTCCATGTCAAGTCTGTTTCTTGAGTTGATGTTTGGGCCCCTTAATTATAGGATGTTTTTAAGTCTAGAACTATTTGTTTTTCATAATACCACCTCTAATATGGCATTTCAATGGAAGTTCTTAGTTTGTCGTTGGACTAAACATCCGACACAAGAATCGCCAGAAAAAGGAAAACTCCCTTGTGCCCTCCATCACCTATCACCATTCGCCAACTTTGGTATTTCAATGGAGATGCCATTCATTGATGTGAGTGGATGGAGAGGTCGAATGTTGAGATCGAGATGCTGATCAAGTGGCTTGATATGGCGAGACTGAGGCCATAATTAGTTACAATCGTGAAGGTATTTGAGCCTTATTCTCTACGAGTGGCTTTCATATTTGCAGGTCGTAAGGAAGAGAAGCTAGTGAGTTGGAAGAGAAGTGCATGGCTCTTTTAGAAGGCAGCGGGAGGTCCTGGTAGAGGACCAGTGACAGGAGGTGGTGTCGTGCAAGTGGCGATGTAAGCATTAGAGGCATCGAAACTCGCCACGAGAGTCGCAACAGTGGTGTGGACACTTGCGAAGATGGAGCAGAAGCGCATAGGCGATCGTGGCTTCAATTGTAACGAGAGGTATATTATGAGACACTAGTGCACTAATGCTCACCTGATGTTGCTGGAAATATGGATTTTCCTATTATTTACTATCTAGACCATTATTGTGGTTTTGTTATGTTATTGGAATTATACGTGCATTTTGGTTCTTCTTAGGGAATTTTAGGTGTTATTTGAGATTTCAATAATGAGTTTTAATTATGGATAGTTAAATAATGAGTTTTAATAATGAGTTTTAATTATGGAATTATATGTGCATTTTGGTTCTTCTTAGGGAATTTTAGGTGTTATTTGAGATTTCAATAATGAGTTTTAACTATGGATAGTTAAAACGAACTAATCGAACTTTATATTATGTAATTGTGGACATTTGTTATGAGCAAACACAAAATCAAAATTCCCTAATATTCATATTTCTTACAATAATCTGTCGACGGATGTTGTGATCTTGAGAAACGGATACCAACCAACTCCGGACTAAATCCACAGGAGGAGTTCGGATCATAATTGAGAATGGCTTCCCAATTCACCTGCAAACCCTTGAGAATCTGTCCTGTGAACTCCATATTTGCAACAAGAAGTAACCCCAGCAAACAATGAATCCTGCAGCAGCAGACCCTGTAGATAGGGGCATAAAATTGTACAGCGACTTCGCCAAGTAAGGTCGTGTTATGTAAGTTCCCGTTCCAGTAATATATAGCCCGGCGACTTCGCCAAAGTGATGTGGTATATGGTGGAGAAGCTACCTTTCCTCCTGTCTTCGATTCGCTAAAGTCAGTTGGCCTCTATGGGCCCAGTTTACTCAAAACATGGGCCTGCTCCTGGAACCTTTATCTAGAAACGAGAACTGCAGCGCTTCTTCAGCAGCTATAATTTTCTGCTATTTTTCGTGTTTTTATTTCTGATCTTCTTCACTGCCTTGGCTAACGTGGTGATGATGTGATGCTAACGTAAGAGAACCAGGCTTAAACAAACAATGATGGTATCTTTGCTGCGCCATGCCTAGGAGACTGAGTGATTATAAGGTGTGTTTCACTTGCTAAAGACTAACTGAGATTTATCCTTTGGAGAAATGGCTTTCCTTCCAAGTAACAGAGAGTGTTGGTTGCTTGCCCTGAAAGTCACAGAGGTACGACGATACGAGCCTTAGTGCTTGGAGTCCTCGGCTGTCCCAATTACCCTATGAGGAAAGAGTGGCTGTAACAAAGTGCTGGAATCTTGATTTCTGCATTGCAAAGTGAAGGAAATTACCCCTCAAATGCAGTGATGTTGCACCATGTAGCCAGCCAGCCAGAAGTGTCCACCAACTGCTCTGTAAATATCAAGAACATGTTTCTGCAAACCATAATCTATCACCGAAAAAAGGGCAGTCACTACTATGCGTCAATGGTCGAAACATTAAACAAATTTTGCCTCTATACACAACTGGATCACAGGGTTCAGAAATCTGTCTCCACTGAACAGCCAAGGAATAAAGATCATTCCACGATAACATGTAACGGACAGATGGCCCGTCCTCTGTACTGCTATACGAACAGCACTGCCTCTATTCTGACTGGCCACATTCATTCTTCTACTCGATCTCTCGCCATTCTTGGATGAGCTTTCAATTGAATGTTTCCATTCTGCTTGTAAGGAACGCCATGCTCTTGACACCTTTTGTGCAACTTGGGCAACCGCCAGCCCAGCAATCTGATGCTGACTGAGACAACAGATAGACCTTTTTAATAACAGAACGAGGAAACTGAATGGTGACAAGTAAAAGATCAAGAACTATACAGTTGTATAAGATGTCAACTATAGGAAGCTGCCTCACTGAAATCCACCAACATGCAATGAATAACCACCTAACAATGGCATTGCAGGCAGCCCTAAGTAGCAGAGGTGTCCAAAGTTTACCGTGAGCAGCTGGATGAGGTACTTGGAACAAAATGAACTGCTAAGCAGTTTTACTAGATAACTCATCCGACCCCTATTTGGAAGAAAGCCAGGACGTTCATATTGAATCTTCCTGCCAACTGAATCAGCACTGCAAGAAGATTTATTTGCCTTGTGTTTTGTAATAGCAAAATCCTTAGGCTTACCACTCTTTAGACGCTCAAGCAAAGGTGGCTGTCTGTAAACCTTTTCGCGAACATTCTCTGGATGCAAATCTTTTGCACCAGTATAGCTGCAAAGTCAATTGCATATTCCAGTGATCAGTGAATTTTTTTTTTTTTTTTTTTTTTGAAGAGTATGAATGCCATGAAGTTGAGTATAGTATCCTATAGCTGGAAACCATAAAAAAGGACCATTAAATCTAAAGAACAAGTAACCTATCAACCCAGTACGAAACTTTTTTTTTGTTGTTGTTGTTGTTATCAACTATCAAGCCATGAGGACCTTTAATAGTTTCCTTGAAGAGAGGATCAATGTTAAACCAGGAGAATTCAGCATTGATTTCTGAAGCTGTATACAAAGGCACAAAGCTATCTCCTTCTGCAAAGGCCAGGGGAAAAAGGAAAGAAAGACTTCAATTCAACATGTGGCCGTAACTAGGAATGTTATTGAAAAAACTCTTCTTTGGTACTCATCAACATAACAAGTCAAGATTAGTACCAGAATGTTGGAAAGTATACAGGATAGAACAAAACATTTGCGGGATACAAGAAACAACTGTGATCCAAAACTTAAACATCCGTAGAACTAGTCTTGCAAAACACAGATGATGTGTGAAGCACACTCTTAACAGTGGTATAGAGCAGCAGAAACCTGATAGTAATGCCAAACATTGAAGCACAAACTTCACTATAGAGTCTAGTTTCAAATCTAGCGTAGCATCATAGTCGGAGAATCAGAGTAAACAAGGTGTAACAAGACCTAAAACTTAAAAAGGTCAACTGGCATATCCTGCGATCACCAGCTATCTTTTAAATCCTATATAACTAGGAAATGCATCATGCCAAACAATAATCCAACACGAAAAGGGACAAGGAGACAAGTCCATATGAACATAGACCAAGACGATTTGCCTCTGCCATTAGTTAGACGACCTCTTGCTTAAAATAGTTGTGATCTGGTAAACATCTGCGGCATATAGACATGAAAATAGCCATTAACCACCGCAAGACACAATGAGCACCCATGTCCAACTTTTTCCAGGAGCCCTTCTTGAGCAGCTCCAGAAAGACCGTTCCTGTATTATATAACGAGAGAACATTTTCCATCCTTCACGAACTATTCGGCCGAGCTTTAGCTTTTGCAATCGATAAGGCCTCCTACATACTAGCGGGTCGTCATAAAACATAGAGATGAAGCTCAAGTGCAAGAGAAGTGATCCCCTTATCAGTGTAACCCTCTGCCTTTCCAGTTTCAACTCTTTGAGGACTCGTGAAGAAAAGAGAACAAGCTCAGAACCAATAACGCATAAGACTTTGAACATGTCAAACTGAGAGTTTGAAGTTTGATTACAACAACGAGACAATGGGAGCGAAAGTTAGGTCCCATGCTACCAAACACACAAAACAGATGAACTCAGACAGATTTTATCTCAGAAACAAACATGGATCCACCATCTCCAGCTCGTCAAATCCAATGTCTCTTTATCTCAGGGTTTGAGATGAGGGAAGCAAGCATAAACATCCGATTTAGGGTGCTTGGCTTCCGCATGCTCCCTGCACTTCACTTCTGTTGTTGTGCACATGAACGTCTGCATACAAACCTTGCACTGCATACAAAGTTGGAGCATTGTTAGCCATTTGAAGATTCCAAATCAATCCATAAGAGCCCCTTAATGTCACTCAGAAGATAAACGCAAAAGAAAGGATCAGCAGAACAAAATTCAAAAGGGTGATCGAAACGAGCTCCCCAGCAAACATATGTTAGCACAACCAGAGCCGAGCTTTCCCGAGCAAAACCAAACACCCACAGCCTATGTGGCAAAGAGATTCCAGCTCTTTGAGAAATTTCCACAAATAGAAGATGTTCCCCGAGCCTTACAATTGTGTTCGATGTGTGTATAAAATCGTGGGCTTGGAAGCAAGAACTCAACTTTCTAGCAATGCAAAGAACATGATAAAAAGAACAGGAGAGAGGCAAAGCACCTGAATACTCATAGCTTTCTTGTTCGAATCTAACTGGCTTCCTGCGAAAATCAAAACCCAGATGGTAGCCCAAATCAACAATATTGATCGATGATTGTGGGCAACAACTTCAAAATTGCTATAGTTATCTCCTTATGTTCTAAAATCGTCGAAAAAAGGCGAGAAACTGGGGTTAGAAAGGAGGAGGAGGAGGTTGCTTTACCTTTGGAGGAGCCCGCTTTCGCCAAGTTCCTCTCGCGAGCCGTCTTCGCCTTCTGGCCGTTGCCTCCTCCCATTTTGGCGAAGGATCAATCCGAGAAAGGGAACCTTGAAGCAGGGTCGGGACGAAACCCAGGAGGGGAAAAAGAAAGAAAACCCTAATTCTGAAATTGCAGGTTGGTTGGACAATCTAAAAGGAACCTTGAAGCGGGCACGCACGCGATTTATATGTCTTCGGTTAACCAGGAAATCTTCATTCCGTCTGTATATTTTTGTTACATATTATATTAGCGAAAATAGTATTGGTTTTGGGTTATCTCTCCAAACCATCCATTGGCTACTCAAGTACAGTCAACGCAGAATTTTCCACTTAAAATAATAATAAAAAGTAGCAGTAAATAAAGGACATTTTATTGGTCTTTGGTTTTTTTTTTTTTTTACAAGATGACATTACATTTCCATTACTTTAGCAGAAACCAAGTGTTAGAGAAGGGGATACAACTAGGGCTGCAAACGAGCCGAGTCGAGTCGAGTTTTTGCTTAGCTTGAGTTCGGCTCGTTTATTAATTTTTCAGCTCGAGCTCGGCTCGAACTCGAATTTTGATAATCCAGCTCGAGCTCGAGCTCGGCTTGAATAAAAATAATCTAGCTCGAGCTCGACTCGGTAGAGCTCGATAAATGCTCATTAACAAAGCTTGTTAAGCTGAGTACAAGCTCGGCTCAAGATGAGCTCGATTTAAAATCATTTTTGCTGAAAAAATGTATAAACATAAGAATTTAAAAGATAAAGAACACTAGAAACTAGAAATAACATCTAAATTTCATACACATCTGTATTATAAGACAATGTTCATGTTTAAAAGAGTAATTCATCCTTCCACAAGCTCAAAACAAGGCAGCTCGCGAGCTTAGCTCGACAAGCCACCGAATCAAGCTAGCTCGCGAGCTTATCAAGCTGAGCATGGTCTAGCTCAGGCTTGGCTCGTTAACTAACGAGTTGGCTCGCGAGCCGGCTTGTTAAATAACGAGTCGAGTGTCGAACGAGTTTTTTCCGATTCGAACGCCGAGTTGCTCGCGAGCGGCTTGGCTCATTTGCAGCCCTAGATACAACATCAAGAATATGAACCCATTTGTGGGGTAGCACATTTTTGGCACACGATCTAGCTACCCAGTTAGCTTTGGAGTTGCTCTTACGACCAATGTGCGATATCCGAATCAAAGGGTTTGACTCCAACACCTGTCTGATAGTTCCAATCCAAGCAGCCACCCGCCAAGGCCATGACGACGTACGTTCATGAACAGCTTGAACAAGTAGCAGGCAATCCGAGAAAACCCGGCAAGGGGAGAGTAGACTAGCAGCGAGGCGAGAGCCCTCCAAAAGAGCCTTGGCTTCAACTTCAAGTGGGGAAAAGCAATGCTAAGTCTCAGCTTTACCGTCACACACTTGACCGTGGCTGTTCGAAACAACGATGCCATAGGCCGCCTCCTGAGAATCGCTGAAGAACGATCCGTCACAGTGTATCTCAAACTCATGAGTACATGGCGGTGGTGAAGAGAGATTCGGTATATGGTTGAGCTGAGATGGAGGAGAAGTGGTCTGCTTCTTGGGGCAGGAGACCCACTGGAGATACGCCACTGATGCTTTCGCAATCGTAGATGGTGGCCATGGTTTGGTGTTCTTGAACACCAGATCTTTTTTTGCTTTCCATGTATGCCAAATGAGGAAGATAATCTTCTGGATGGATAAAATCGAGTACCTGGACTGCAGGGCGCTCAGCCACTCCAAGATAGGTGTAAGAGGTGTAGGATATGGGATCGCTGGCCATTCGCGATGACAACCTTCAGCTGCGTGGGGGCAAGTGAAGAGGCAGTGGTGAATGGATTCCGTTGGAGAGGCACACACCGGGCACGCCCTGGTCGGGGAACATTTCCTAATCCAAAGGTTCTCTTTCGAGGCCAGAGCTCTTCTGGCGATCCTCCAAACGAAAAATTTCAGCTTCGGTGGGATAGACAAGCTCCACAGCCATTTCCACTTTCTTTTAGTTGCCTCCGAAACAGTCTCCCCATGCCCTTGTGACGACCTGACTCGATCATGGATGTGCAAGAAAGCCGATTTGACCGTGAAATTGCCCTGGTCGAAAAATCTCCAGGCCCAAAAATCTTCCAGGGACTCGGGCTCGATGGGGATGGCGGCCACCTGTCTCAAGTTGTTGGGACCTAGAAACCTCGCGATAAGCTCAAAATTCCACTCTCTTGATATGGTATTGATCTAGCAGACGAATGTGGACGGGTCAGGCCATTCGAAATCAAGAAGAGCTCCCTCACGGTCTCTTCTTCAGGGATCCTGGAACAGTTTGGTCGATCTGCCGTTGCCAATGACTCTGATGATCCCTTGTCCCATCCAAGATTTTGCCTCGCACAAACTGGACCAGATCCACGAGGCCTTCCCTCCCTTCTTAGCATTCAGAAAATGAGTCTTAGGGAAGTAGATGCTTTTGAGTACCTTGACCCAGAGGGCATCTTTGTTGGTGAGGATTCTCCAAACCTGCTTGGCAAGCAAGGCAAGGTTGAAGACGTGAAATGGCCTAAAACCAAGTCCCCCTTCTTCTTTTGGGGCATACAGAACATGGGCAGCCCTCCAATGGATAGTTTTTTTTTACATCGATCCCCCCCAGAAAAATTCTTCAGCATTGAGTCCATCTTCTTCGTGGTTGAACTTGAAAGGAGGAAAAGATACATAATGTATGAGGGGACTGCTTGGAAAATAACTTTGAGAAGGACTTCCTTCCCCCTAGTGATAGGAGGAGACTCTTCCAGGCCTCTCCTCGCTTTTCCATTCGTTGAATGAGGAAGTTGAAAATCTCCTTCTTAGATCTGCCCCATTCTGTGGGAACTCCAAGATACGTGGAGTGACCATTTGTAACAGCAAAACCAGACTCAAGGATAATCCTTGTCTGTTCCTCACTGGGGACATTGAAACTAAAAAACATTGATGATTTGTCCTTGTTCACTTCTTGACCCGTAACAGCGCCATAATCCTTCAGAATTTCCAAGATCTTCCTTGCCTCTTACGATGAAGCTTCCCCAAAAATAACAGTATCATTGGCAAAAAGGCAGTGAGACAAGATAGGGCATGATCGATTGATCTTGATTCCTTTGATGTCCTTCCTGAGCACAGCTTTCTCAATAAGGAAAGAAAGGGCATTAGATAAGAGAATGAACAGAAGGGGGGACAAGGGGTCTCCCTATCGAATGCCTCTGGAGGGCTTGAATTCAGGAGAGGGTTCTCCATTTAACAATAATCTGAAGCTCACAGTAGAAATGCAAGAATGAACCCATCCACACCAGACATCGCTGAAGCCAAAGGCTCTAAGAAGATTGATTAGCAGATCCCATTCAACAAGGTCATATGCTTTTCTCATATCCAGCTTCATCATCATCTCCCTTTTGCTTCCGGTTTTGTGCTTCTTGAAGTCGTTGAGCACTTCATGGACAATAATGATGTTGACTTGAATCTGTCTTCCCCCTGTAAAGGCTGAGTGCAGTTCATTGACCAGGTCTGGCAGCCAGGGTTGAAGCCTGTTTGTCATGATTTTGGTAATGAATTTATATATGAAATTACAGCAACTGATGGGTCTGAATTGGCCAATCACCTCGGGAGCTTCCACCTTGGGAATGATGGTGATGAACGTATCGTTCCACTTATCAGGCATTGTACCTGAAATGAAGAAATTGGAGACTTCCTAGCTGAAAATATCCCCCAATGTGTGCCAATATTTTCTGAAGAAGAGACCTGGGTAGCCATCATGGCCAAGGGCTTTATTAGCCCCAAGCTGGAAAACAGCCCTCCTAATCTCTTCCTTTTCAACTGGAGCGCAGAGACTGAGATTTGCCTCCACAGTCACCAAACCTGGGAAGCCCTCCAAGATACTCGGATCCAGTTGCCCATTCTTGCTCGTAATGAGCTCTTGATAAAAGTCATTGGCATGAACACCAAGATCGAAAGTATTGGTAATCCAATTCCCCTCCAAATCCTTGAGCTTCAGGATACGATTCCGGTTCTTCCTTCGAATAGTGCTTGCATGGAAAAAACCTGAGTTCTGATATCCTTCCTACAGCCATGAGATCCTCGACCTCTGTGCCCAGAAACTCTCTTCTGAGCTCCATAAGATCTCAAGTTCAAGCTGGAGATTCTTTTCTTCATTGACAAGAAAAGTTGACCTATTTGTCCCATGTATCACCTGAAGTCTTTGTCTTATTTCTTTTTCTTTCTTCTGCTTATTCTTTCTGTCATCCCTCGCCCAAATTCTCAGGTCCTTTTAACAGTCCGTAAGGATTTCTTGAACATTGCCCCCCTGCCCCATCGATTGTTGACAATCTGGCAGCATTCATCGCTTTCACGCCACCTTTTGTCAAACCGGAAAGGAGCACAAGTATTGCGACCACGGGGGTGGAGATCGACCCTAATCGGGCAGTGATCCGATTCCACAAAATCTTCGTGGTAAACCATGGCCGCTTCGAACTCTGTTCTCCACGAGGTCGAGCAGAGTGCTTGATCAAGCCTCTCCCTGATCAAGTTGTTACCTTGTTGCTTATTGCTCCAGGTGAAGGTTTGGCCTGAGAACCCGAGATCCAGAAGAGCGTTCCTATTAATGAAGTACTTGAATGGGTTCACATTTTCATTTCTTAAGGGACAGTGTCCCTGCTTTTCAAATGGGTAGATGGCGACATTAAGGTCACCTACAACAAGCCAACTATCTTTCTGATTCGCCCTAAGACTCGTAAGTCGATCCCAAAGGGCATTCCTTTCTACCACCGTGGTAGGAGCATGGACAAAGGTGCAGAAAAACTTAACCTCATTCCTACTAATGCTAGTGTCCATGATCTTTCCACCAAAGGGCATTCCTCTCAACATCATCTTTCCACCAAAGAGCCAAACCACTTCCTTCTCTCCCTGGACCAACATAATCCGACTGATCAAACTTCATTGCTCTTCTCCTTACTTCCATAAAGGAATCATCCTTCCTTGTTTCCATAAGAAATAGCACTGAAGGGCCGAATCGTCGACAAAGTCTGCCGCAGTAGCTCCTTGTAAGAAGCTGGCCAAACCCCCCTACAATTCCAACTAAGGATTCTCATTCTTGGAGGGGCGGCTTGAGGCCTGCCGCTGCTGCCCTCGGAGTGGTAGACTCCCCTTCTCCGGATTGACATCCTTCTGCTGTGATTTCTGCC